AGCTTGTCCGTGCCGGAGGCACGAACGTGAGCGAGGCAGCCCGAGACGTGGAACGCAGACGCTTAACCGGGAGACCCAGACCAGAGAAGGGTCGGCGAAACTTGCTGCTGCTGGGGGTGCGGCCACATGTTATGCTAGTGAGCAGCGTAGCGCACGGCGAACGGACACAGAAAATGGGGTGCACCGGCATGAATCATGGAGGTGCGAGCCACCTCCATGACCAAACCGATGCGTCGCTCAGCGACCCCATTCTGCTGTGGGGAGTCCGGCAGGGTGAACGTCTGGGTGATGCCCTCCGCACGACAGAACCGACCAAGGACACCTGAGGCAAACTCGCCACCACGGTCAGAGTGAAGACGCAAGATAGGGAGACCGCGGTGGACACGCGCAGCAACAAGCCAGGGGATGAGAGCGTCAGGCACGTCGGCCTTCCGCTCCAAGGGAAAGACTGTGGTGTAGCGTATGAAGTCGTCGACAAGCACTAGAAAGTAGCGGTCTCGACGCGGCCCATGGACGGGGGCGGGGCCCCAGACGTCCATGTGCAGGGTCTGCAGCGGCAAGGCGGTAGGGGGAAACGAGGAGGAGTTAGGGGCATGGCGAAGCCGACCCTCGACACAAGGCATGCACGGGGGGGAGGGGGAGGAGGGAAACTCGGGGAACGAACTCGGGAGACCAAGGACGAGACCATCCTGGGACATTTGACGCAGACGCAGGAGCGCAGGGTGGCCTAGGCGGTGGTGCCACATGAGAGTCGGGTGCGTGAGGGATCGAGAAGAGCAGGCAGCAGCAACATGGGTAGACGCAGCCACCTGGGGGGACGCCCCAGCCACGGGGGTCACGATGTCGAGTGTGAACAGGCCGGACACCGGGTCCCGGGGGAACGTGGTAAGGGGGCACCTGTGGTGGCCTCGGTACAGACAGCATACCGCTCGTGACCCGGGAACGTAGTGGTGACGCCAAGGTCCTGAAGGCAACCGACACCAACTAGGTTCCTGGAGAACGAGGGGATGTGCAGGCCTGTGAGAGAGCCCGAAGGAACCGCCGGACAAGGAAGGGTGGTGGATTTGCGGGCGACTACCGGGCCGCCGGAGGGGTCAGCAAGAGAAACCGCAGCAGGAACAGGAAGCGGCGTCAGCGTCGTGGAGTCGCGAAAGAAACACCGGGAAGCGCCAGAGTCCAAGGTGAAGGAAAGCGCAGCAGTGGCGTCAGGCGGCGGAGCAGCGGCAGAAGCACCGAGGCTAAACAAAGTAGGAGATCCTACGCCTGACGCAGCAGGGGAGTCTAAGCTAGGCACACCTATATTAGGCGACAAGGGGTAATAAGAGGGAAGCACACTAGAGTCAACAGCATACATCACATGCAGGGCAGCAACAATGTCATCCATATCCACGTCAAAAATCTGAACTCTACGACTAAGCAAGCTGTGCCAATCCAGGGGGTCGGGCGACGGCCCGAAGCGCTGACGAAACAGGTCGTCCAGGCGACGAAAATAGCGGGAAGTGGTGTGACCGAGCCTACCGCAAACGAAGCCGCGGCGAGGACCGGTCTCAAGCTGGTACTGACAGCGCACGCCTCCCGAACCGCCACCTGGCACACCACCAGCGCCAGGCCACCCGGGCGGGAGACCGCTTGCCCGCCTTGTCTGCTGCGGCTGTATTGGCGGCTGCTCGGCTGCACCTGGTACGGTCCCCTCATCCGCACCACCACGAGGCGACCCGACTCCACCACCACCGACACCTGCACCCCCACCCCCGCCGCCACGCCCAGCCTTGGGGCGACGACCCTTCCCCGGATGGACCTGTGTTGCAGCGGCAGTCTCAGCCACAGTAGCAGAACCGTCGGAGAAGGTGCACTGAGCGGGGGCGCAACCCTGAAAGATAGGGTCTGGTACAGTACCGCTGGTGTGAGCGATAGAGCGGTGGCGGGCCTCTATAATGGATAGGGTGTCAACAAAGTCAGTGAGGGTGAGGTCTGCTGGGTGGACACTAAGGAAGTGGTCACGGGCAGTGGCAAGACGGCCAGGGAGGCGGGTGGCTAGCAGGTAGAGAGTAGAGGTGAGGGGCGGCTGGTGGGCTAGAAGCTGTGTGGGAGTACAGGCAGCACACCAGGTCTCATCTATAGCGCGCAGGTGATCGGCCAGGTCAGCGACAGTGGGGAACGACGCAAGGTCAGGGAAGAGCATGGGGAGGATCAGACGACCTACTTAGGCAGCAGGCGGGGTGGAATAGTGCTGGACAACAGCATCTAGGAAAGCCTGGACAGTGGTGATAGACCGAAAGCGAGGTCCTCGGACAAGGGGAGGGCATTGCTAATGGCAAGCTGTGCGACAGCGTCACGGGACAGCCAGACAGAGCGAGCAAGGGCAGCGGCCGCAGCGGACTCACGCTCAGCGGACGAGGGGTCAGGAGACAGTGCAGCGGGGGGGTCAGGGCAGGGGAGGGTACCATCAAGATGGACAGAGAGCGAATGGCCATCCTGCCACTGACCAGTGAGATGGCGACGGAGGTCAGCAAGCCACGCATCAAACTCAAGCGGCTGCCCCTCAGCATCAAAGCGAAGCACCGCCGCCATCAGTGACAATAGAGGGCAGTGTAGAGTGGTGCAGGATGGTGCAGTGCGGTGCAGTGCAGCACAGTGCGGTGCAGTGTGGTACAGTGCGGTGCAATGTGGTGCAGTGTGGTGCAGTGCGGTACAGTGCGGTGCAGTGCGGTGCAAAGCGGTGCAGTGTGGTGCAAAGCGGTGCAGTACGGCACCGGGGGGGGGGGGTCGACAGGGCGGTGTTGATCGGGAAGAACGGGCCGAGCCCGAGGCGGCAGCGTTTTGGCGACGACGCGAATGCAAGGGCGGGCCGACGGGCGACGGACGCGAGGGGCCAGCAAACGGCGGCAACAGGGGACGACTAGAAGCTGAGGCGACGACGGCCAGGGACAGCCGCGACAGCGGCCAGGGACAGCCGCGACGGCGGCCAGAGACAGCCGCGACGGCGGCCAGGGACAGCCGCGACGGCGGCTAGGGGCGGCCGCGATGGTGAGGGGCGGCCGTGAGCCGGCTGAAAACAGCCGCGACGGCAGCTAGGGGCGGCCGCGACGGCCAGGGGGCCAGCTAGGGACGGGCGCTAACGGCCAGGGGGCCAGCTAGGAACGGGCGCGATGGCCTGAGGGCCAGCTAGGGGCGGGCGGGACGGCCAGGGGGGTAGCTAGGGACGGGCGCGAACGGCCTGGGGGCCAGCTAGGGACGGGCGCGAACGGCCAGGGGGCCAGCTAGGAACGGGCGCGAACGGCCAGGGGGCCAGCTAGGGACGGGTGCGAATGGCCAGGGGGCGAGCTAGGGACAAGCGCGACGGCCTGGGGGCCAGCTAGGGGTGGGCGCGACGTTCAGGGGGCCAGCTAGGGACGGGCGCGAACGGCTAGGGGGCCAGCTAGGGACGGGCGCGAACGGCCTGGGGGCCAGCTAGGAACGGGCGCGAACGGCCTGGGGGCCAGCTAGGAACGGGCGCGAACGGCCAGGGGGGCAGCTAGGGACGGGCGCGAACAGCCTAGGGGCCAGCTAGGGACGGGCGTCAACGGCTAGGGAGCCAGACGGCAGCGAGGGCCGAGGGGCGGAAGCGTGGGCGGGCTAGGGGACCTAACGTACTATGATACCATAACAAAATGAATAGTAAAATTGAGTAGGGAGAGAACAAATGAATATACCTAAATGTTGTACCCCCTAAGAGATGAACCTATACAGTCTATACAAACATAGTGCATACATGTTTGACATAGCTGACGGTGCCGGGGCTAGCTGACGGGGCCGGGGCTAGCTAGCTGACGGGGCCAGGGCTAGCTGAAGGGGTTGGGGCTAGCTGACGGGGCCGGGGCTAGCTGAAGGGGGGCCGGGGCTAGCTGAAGGGGGCTGGGGCTAGCTGACAGGGCTGGAGCTAGCTGATGGGGCCGGCTGGTTGACGGGAGCGACACGGGCCTATGGCGGAATTCGGTGGGCGGGGGAGAGGGGGGGGGGGAGGGGGGGTGAACGGGGCCTACTCGTGATACCATCTTAGCAGAAACTAATGGTTTAAAATCATAGCATACATTGCAATATATGCTAAAGAGTTGGTACCCTCTAAGGTACGACCCTATACAGGCTATATGACATATAAAGTTATGTTTGACACGCCTGGCTTTCCACGTCAGCCTCCTACGGCCCTACGTTCCCAGTTCGTCGGATTTGGCACGACGACGCATTGTTCCGCAGCTGACGCCCCTCTAGATTCTCGACCATCGAGTCACAACGCAGCAAAACCGTCGGATGGTAAATTTTCTCATCAGATGGCGTGATCGGACGTCTGAGGATGACAGCTGGGTACCCCTCGCTGATCTAGAATCACACCCGATTCTTACAGCGTACTATCAGCGTTGGAAAGTTTCCGATGCCTACAGCGTACGAGGAGAGGTTAGTGTTTATTGAGTTGTACGTGAGCGCGTACACCCGAACTCCTCGACTCGTCATGCTCGGCCTCATTTGTCGGCCCAACCCTTTCTCGAGTCGCGTCCGGCACTGGCACCGTTACATTCGTCGATTATTAGTTGTTCTCTAGCATTTCAAAGTTCGCTTTAGTGTAAGAACTATGCGCGACGGTCAATCATCCCGTCACTTATTCCTGACGAACGGTTTGGGTGACGGACGGTTTGTTATCGTTGACAGAAATCGTCACTGATCGTAAAAGCCCCGCAATAATCTTTACAGACCCGAGATTTTATGCGGGAGAAAGCAGCGTTCGTCACTAAATCTAGGCGAACCATGGCGCCCCGTTCGTACCATTTGCTTTCGCCAAGGGCCGTCGTCGCACCCGGTTCCGATTCGCAGGAGCGAAAACCCTTCGCGAACAGTCGCGTGGCATGTCGAGTCGCATAGCGTGTCGCAAGGGGCGTCGCTCGCCAGCTTGCGAGTCGCATCCAGCGGAGGTTCGAGTCGGCACCTAACAGAGAGTTCCACGCCGAACCTGACTCCTGCTACTGAGCTCTTCGATATATGCACCGGAGGAGGTACGCTACACGTATTTCTCAACCCCCTCTCCCCTCTGGCTCCCGTGCAGCGGAATTTAGCGCTTCAACTCTGCATTGTTTTCTCGCCTCTCTCAACTAACTCTCAGTTCATACAGTCCCTAATAAAGCCTATGATATGTATTCGTTCCTTTCATCCGCCGACCGTCACCTCTGCCTCGCCTTTCTCACCTTTACTCTCGCCTCGCCTCGAAATTCAGGGCTTCGCTCTGCATTGCCTCCCCTCGCATCCCTTACTTTCTCTCATGACACGTCCTTCTACCCCTGTTTTTTCCCTTCTCCTTCAATTTATTTGTTAAAACGAGATCGAGAGAGAGAGAGAGAGAGAGAGAGAGAGAGAGAGAGAGAGAGAGAGAGAGAGAGAGAGAGAGAGAGAGGAGGAGGGGGAGAGGAGAGAGAGGGAGAGGAGGAGAGGGAGGGGGGGAGGGAGGGAGGGAGGGAGGGAGGGAGGGAGGGAGGGAGGGAGGGAGGGAGGGAGGGAGGGAAGACATCTTACTCTGAGGACTTCATGCAACTTAACTATGGGGAGTTGCCTATACGGTTTCAGATCCCTGGTAAGTCATTTGTCTTATTTGCAGTTGCGCTTGTAAGGCCCTTGATGAATATTAACACGTCGTAGTAAAGGCCATGTAACAGTAGGAAATAAAGTTGCTGGTGCATCTCTAGCTGAAGTGTATCTTTCTGTAACTTTGTTTGAACTATCATTTTGCAACTTCATATTTCACGGCACCACTTCATGGTAGCACGCCGACGTGGCGTCTTCGTCGTGTATGTCAAGGGCAGCTCAATCAGCTCTGGCTGTCGCGGATATGGTGGCTAGGATGTGGCTGGGAGACATGCAATGCCAATGCCGATGTGGCAGCAGAAACCAGCCACGTATGCTTGAAAGCGAGCTTCGTATGTGCGACAAGGACAGGTCAGAAAGTATTTGTCGTGCGGGGTCGTTCAAAGCCCAACCCAAACCCAACTTGGTGGAAAAGAGCAGTGAACAGTATCGACAGCAGAATGCCGACACCGCCTTGCACTGTACCTGTCTCCCCCCTTTTCCCCAACTTCCTCCCACTCGCCCCGTCTTCTCCCCACCCTCCCCCAACCCCCCCCTACCCCCCCCCCCCCCCCTCCCCCCGTTTCTTTCTCCGCCTCCCGCATCCCTTCCAACCCAACCTGATTCCCGCCAAACTGTCACCAGCGGGAACCAGTCAGCCAATCGTAACTCTCGCGGCGCGGCCCGGAGGAACATTAGGACCATGCGATTTCGTGTCGCCGATTCGCGAATGTTCTAGTCGGTCACTGTGCGAAATTCTTGCTTTCGTGACTCATCATGACTGAGGGCATTTCGAATGCCAACACAGACACCCAAGTTCTTTACCGTGTTGAAAACTTCTGCATCTCACAAAACCTAATATATATTACACCAAACCGAGCTAAACCCGAAACCACAAGCAAACATCTTGCCCTGTCAGTTCAAAACGCCCCCACCTGCCATCACTGGACTGGACTGGACTGGTCCTAGCTTTCTTGTCAGCATTCCAGACCCGAACTGGGCTGTGCAATTCTCGTACTTACCGTTGCTGTGGCGACTAATATCCTCGTACTTACCGTTGCAATTTTGTACCACTGTCGTACGGCCGATCATGCCGGAGATCTGGCGAGATTTATGTCGGTCATGCTGTCAGCTGTTGGCGACGAACGATTGCAGTCACAGACGGAAGCCGTCCGAAAGCGTCGACGGAAATCGTCACGGAGATCGAAATCAGCATTTGTCACTGCTACTAGTGACGGATGGTCGACCTGACGGACTTATAGTTCGCTCGACAGCACAATCGTTAACTTTGACGGACCGATCGTTACCTCTGGAAGACTGATCGCTAACGTTGACGGACTGATCGTGACGGACTGTTCGTTAACTTGGCCATAGCTGAACCATGTCGCTTAGAAACCCTCGTTTATCCTCTCGTCCTCTCCGTCTCACCTTCCTCCTGCTCTCCGTATTCTCCGCCGCGTTTTCCGCCGCTTTTTCAGCTGGAGTGTCTGAAAGCGCTCCCGCTAGCGCTCCCGCAAGCGCTCCCGCCCCGTCTCCCAGCGACGAGATGATTCCAGATATCCCCGGTATAGACTACTCCGTCAATATCACGCTTCCGGTCGTTTCAGGCACATCAGGGGATCCCGTGGGTCCCCCCATTTGCTTTGAGCAAGGGCTATCGCCGCACCCGGTTCCGATCCCTTGTGGCGAAAATTCTTCGCTAACAGCGACGTCGCAAGTGGCGTCGCTCGCCAGCGCGCGAATCGCATCTATTGGTGGTTCGAGTCGACCCCTAGTCGCAGAGAATTCAACGCCGAACCTGACACCCGCTACTGAGCTCTTCGATATATGCACTGGAGGAGGTACGCCACTACACTTCCCCACCCCCCCCCCCCAATTCCTAACTGTGCCGAACCTAATTGTGCTGGAAGGTAGGCGCTTTGCTCTCGGCGCGCTTTGCATCGATTTTGCCGCGCTATCTCGTTGGCCTTGCGGTCCCTCACTCTTCCCCCATTCGTCCCTCACTCTTCCCCCATTCGTCCCTCACTCTTCCCCCATTCGTCCCTCACTCTTCCCCCATTCGTCCCTCACTCTTCCCCCATTCGTCCCTCACTCTTCCCCCATTCGTCCCTCACTCTTCCCCCATTCGTCCCTCACTCTTCCCCCATTCGTCCCTCACTCTTCCCCCATTCGTCCCTCACTCTTCCCCCATTCGTCCCTCACTCTTCCCCCATTCGTCCCTCACTCTTCCCCCATTCGTCCCTCACTCTTCCCCCATTCGTCCCTCACTCTTCCCCCATTCGTCCCTCACTCTTCCCCCATTCGTCCCTCACTCTTCCCCCATTCGTCCCTCACTCTTCCCCCATTCGTCCCTCACTCTTCCCCCATTCGTCCCTCACTCGCCCGAGCCGCATACTAAAAAGGTGCTGAGTCGACTCACTCCGAGTCGTCTCCTCGCACGTCCCTTTCACGACTTGTATCTGCCGCGCGCAACGGTCTCATGGGGAGCTCCTCGCATCGATCTGCTCCTCGCGTCGATCTGCTCCTCGCATCGAAATTCTCTTATTGCCCCGCAAAAACTGTCTGATGAACTTTTGAGTCGACTCAAAAGTCGCCTCGAAAAACTGTCGGACCAACTAACTGTGTGCCGCGAGATTGTCGCATACCCCCTCCCCCCTCCCCCCTCCCCCCTCCCATTTTCCTTCCCTGACACCAGAATCGGTGTCTCTGACTCCGCGGCGGCGTAACACGTAGCTGTGTGCCTGCTCTTTCCCCCACCCTTCCCCACCCGTCCTTCCTCCCTCCCCCGCTCCTGGCTCTGTGCCATTGACTCTGGATCCATGGCGGCAGAACAAGTTGATTGAGTGTCTCGTGTCTCCCGTCTCCCCCCACCCTCCCCCCACCCTCCCCCCTGCCCAGGCTCCGCGTCAGTGACTCCGAACCCGCGCAGGCGGAACAAGCGGGCTGATGATCTTCCCCCCACCCTCTCCCCCCTCCCTTCCACCCCATTCCCAGGCTCCGCGTCAGTGACGCTGAACCCGCGCAGGCGGAACAAGTGGCGAGGCTGGGGCACCTCCCTCTGCTGGTAAGCCACCCCTCCCCCCCGCCCCCCCCCCTCTGCCCCCCTCTCTCTCCCCCCCTCTCTCTCTCCCCCTCGCTCTCCTCCCCCGCTCCCGATTCAATATCCCTCCCTCCAACCCCTTTCTGGCTGGATACGGCAGGGGAGCAAGTGGCGAGGCTGGGCTGTGCTGGTAAGACTGCAGGTGAAGATGTGGGGTGAGGGGAAAGGGGGGGGGAGTGGGGGTGAGGTGAAGGGGAGGGGAGGGGGTTGAGGTGAAAAGGGGGGGGAGGGGGGGTGAGGTGGAAGGATGTATGCTTATTCATAGATAGCTTCCTTCAATCCCACTTCAATCTCCTTGCGGCCCTCTTGTCCCTGTCCCCGCCCTTCAATGCACCACCCCCCCTTTTCTCCCTTGACTCAACACATCCCCCCTGACCTTCCCCTCTCTCTCTCCTTCTATACTTCCTAGTCTAGGAAACTTCGTGGGTGGTTTCCCTGATGCCCACTTTGACCCCTTAATGGACCTCCTATTCTTTCTCTTTCAGGTCCAAACCTCAACAGTCTGTTACAGCATAGGAGGCGGGCATAATGCGACTAACAACCCCCAGGTTCAAACAGACACACTCTCTCAATGCACCGACCCCACTTCTCTCCCTTGACTCAATACTCTCCTTCTGATATCCCCTCCCACGCTTCCATCCCTCTCAGGCTAGGAAACTTCGTGGGTGGTTTCCCCGACACGCACTTCAACCCTCTCATGGACCTCCTATTCTCCCCATCGGGACTAAACCTCAACATAATCCGCTACAACATAGGAGGCGGCAACAACGCTACCAACAGCCCCCGACTCCAAACAGGCTGGGGAAAATGGCGGGGCATGCCGGGCTTTAAAGCCACAGAGCAAGCAGGCTACAACTGGTCAGCAGACGACAGGCAGCGGAAAGTTTTGTTCGCTGCCCGGGCGCGCGGGGCAGACACATTCGAAGCTTTTGCCAACAGCCCACCCTGGTGGATGACAGTGTCTGGGGATGTTGCTGGGGCTTCCAAATACGGGGAGGGGAATTTGAAGGTGCAGTACGAAGAAGCTTATGCGGAATTTCTCACTGATGTGGTGGAGAAATTTGCCAAGGATACTAGCTGGGGTAAGGGAATGGTGTTTGATACCTTGGAGCCGTTTAATGAGGCTTTGGAGGGGTGGTGGATGAAGGGGGGAGGGCAGGAGGGGTGTAACATCGGTTTACAGCAGATGAAGCGGATTCTACTGATGGTCCAGGCTGCTCTTGAAAGGAAGCAGCTTAAAACGGGGATTGTTTCGGTGGATAGCTTTGTCCAAACCACCCCGAGACAGATTGGGACTCTGAACCCGTTCCTCGCCCGTTACAACGTGCATGGTTACATGAGCCTGGCGAAAAACGGAACGAGTTCGGTCGAGTGGACAACCCAAAAATTTCATGATATGAAGCGGATGGCGAAAGGGCAGGAGAAAGAGGTGTGGGTTTCGGAATGGGGACCGCTCTTGCGAGGCGGGGAGGATATGGACGTGGCACTGTTCATGGCGAGGTCAATCATTGCAGCGATCAACATTTTGGAAGCTACTGGGTGGGTCTTTTGGCAGGCGATTGACCCCGTGGCATCCTGGGCGCTGATCCACATCGACTGGTCGAAAACGCCGGATGAGTCTACAGTGTACACTCCGCCGACGGTCTCCAAAAAGTTTTGGATCTTGAAGCATTTTACAAGTCTCGCTCCCGCGGGAAGCAAGCGGCTCTATGTCAACAAAGCCAAGTGCAGTTACGGGATTGCAGCTTTCTACACCCCAAAGAAAAGGATGATCAGTGTTTTTGTGGTGAATCAAAAGGCGACGCCAAGAACAGTGAAGATTCACATCCCGTGGTGGTTTTTGAGAAATGTAGGTGGCAAATCAAAGGTACACTCCTGGAGGACATCATACGCTGATGACTTCGTGAAAGTTAACTATAGAGGAGGACATATGCCTATAAGCTTTGCAATCCCTGCAAGGTCGTTTGCCTCGTTTGCACTTACACATGTAAGACCACTATGGTAGAGCTGCCCCTTGACATAGGATGTAGGCTAATGTGCAGTACCGGAATTCCTTCTGTCTCATACGGTGCTAGTAGTGATTTGAGCATACCTACCTACCCGCCTGGCATTGTCGTGTAGGGAGATTCACCACATGAGATGAGAATGAACAGCACCGTTACAGTGTGCCAGCCACAGCCAGTGCGTATCAAACAGGCCCAGTATTGGCAAGGGATTGCGGGGTCTAGTACCAGCCAAAATTTGGTAATCGAGAGCTAAAACTAGTTAGTAAGGCTTGGCTGGACCTGTTTCTTTCTCAGAACCCTATAGAGTCTCCCACATTTTTCTCTATTGGACCTTCTTCGATTCACCCCTACTCGGCCGTTTCATTGCCAGCAGGACCTGCGTGCGATACTTGGCATCGTCACACAGGAAGCTCCACCACACCAGCGTGAACGGCACTGTCGCCGCATGCCACAGCGAGTGCGCGTCAAACAGGCCCAGAATCGGCGGGAAGTCGTACAGCTCCAGCAGTAAGGACAAGGCAGTGCCGCCCGCAACGAGCAGAACCTTCCAGGCAGAGGGGTGCCGCGTGCTTATGGCCCAGATGGTCCACAGCAGCAGCTGTGCGACACCCATGACTGTGCACACAGTGATGTTCCAATCTGCATGGGGTAGGAGGTTGGGAATGGGGAATGGGGAAAGGTTGTTCACATGGAGGGAGGGATGACGTTGGCCTGATGGCTCAGATGGTCCAAAGCAGCAGCTGAGCCACCCCCATGACAGTGCACACTGTGAAGTTCCTATCTGTGAGGAAGGAAAATGGGGGGTGTGGGGGAGGCGGGAAGGGGGGGGCGGAGGGGAGGTGGGGTTCAGTGAAGAAGAGGTGAGGTGCAGAGGGGTGCAGGTAGGTGCCTATGGCCCAGATGGTCCACAGCAGCAGCTGCGCCACCCCCATGACTGTGCACACAGTGATGTTCCAATCTGCGAGGAACGAAAGTGGGTGAGGAAAGGGCAGGGGGGATTGATGTGAAGAAGAGGTGGGGTTCAGAGGGGTGCGGGTGGGTGCTTATGGCCCAGACGGTTGAGAGCAGCAGCTGCGCCACCCCCATGGCTGCGTACTGTGATGTGATGCTCCATTCCAATCTGCGATCAGGAGGGAGGGAGGGGATTGAACAGGGAGGGGATGGGGGAAGGAAGATCAGAGTGAGACCACACAGGTGTTGACTGGCCGGCATATGGCCCTCCAACATGGTCCGCAGTGGCAGCTGAGTCACCATCGTGGAGGTGCACACAGTGATGTTCCAATCTACGACTGGGAGGGAGGGAGGGGATGGGGGACGGAAGAGTGGAGTGAGACCAACAGGTGTTGACTGGCCGGCATATGGCTCTCCCACACAGTCCACAGCGACAGCTGCGCGACCCCCATGGTGATGCACACAGTGATGTTCCAATCTACCAGTGCTGAAAGCGGGGGTTGTGGGGGAAAGTAGGGGGTGTTGGGGGAAAGTAGGAGGTGTGGGGGAAAATAGGGGGTGTGGGGGAAAATAGGGGGTGTGGGGGAAACTAGGGGATGTGGGGGAAACTAGGGGGTGTGGGAGAAAATAGGGGGGTGGGGGGGAAAGTAGGGGGGTGGGGGGAGAAGGCTTGCCAAGAGAAGAAGGGGTAAGGTGCAGAGGGAATGCTGGCTCCCCTCCACAAGTCACACACAGTATAGTCATACAATAAGTGGAGAAATACGCGTACGGTGTATATACGCTAGAGTATATACGCTGTACGCTTGATTCTGGTTTCTGAAACGGCAGGAAAAACGCTTGGGCGGGCAGGCAAAAAAAGTTCGGGCAGGGCTGAAAAAACTCTGTTTGGGGGGCGGGGGAGGGGAGGGCGGGGTTGCAGAGCATCAAAATCCCCCCACCAAAAATATTGTCATTTATCATGATAATAAATAGTTCTAACTTACCGCGCTAGTCTAGGGAGAGAATTGCGCTGGCTGGATTCATCGTAAGTATGGGAGTGAAACGCGATGGGAGATTCGTGGAGTAGAGAGAGGGACGAGGGGGATTGGGTGGGTGTAAATTGGAAATTGTAGATTGAGTGGGATGCTGTGCGACTGGGAGGGAACGAGGAGGGGGTTTGGGTGGGTGTTGGTTTGAAGTTGTAGATTGGGTGGGATGCTGTGCAGTTGAGTGGGGAAGAGGGGGGGGTTGGTTGGGTGTTGGTTGGGAGTTGTAGATTTGGTGGGATATTGTGCGGTTGGGATGGGGGGAGGGTTTGGATTGGGTGGGAGTTGGTTGGGACTCCCAGTTTGGGTTGGATGCTGTGCGGTTGGTGGGGGGGGAGGGGTTGGAATGTTGAGTTGAAAGAACATAGTCGAGTTTGCGACTTGGCAAAAATTATGGCTTGATTCGCCAAGTCGCGAGCTGTGACATAGTTTTTTTTAGTATTTCTCACCGGGCAGACTGCCGAGAAATACGCTAGCGTATTGCGTACTACCTTAGCGTACTGCGTATCGCGTAAAAACGCCAGCGTACATACGCGATACGCTTGGCTGCGCGAGCGTATTTCTCCACTTAAGTCATACGCAGTATAGTCATCCTCGTTACAGTCACACTCACAGAAGTCAAAGTCGTAGAAGTCGAGGAAGAGTATGTGCGTGGTGGGAAAGGGGATCTCACTTGGAACCAAGAGCTCTAGGTTGGCAGGCATGCTCAAGATACCAAGGCCCTTCCAGCGCCGATGACATCACCCACATGGCCTCCTCCCTCAGGCTGCTGATGCGGATGATGCACACATACTCGCTATAGTCATTCTCGTTATAGCCACACTCACCGTAGTCAAAGTCATAGAAGTTGAGGAAGAATATGTGCGTAGTGGTGAAGGCAATCACAGGTGCTGATACCATCACCCGCGTGGCCTCCTCCCTGAGGCTGCTGATGCGGATGATGCACACCAGCAGCGACATGCCAATGAGGGCGATGGCAGATGAGTAGTCGCCCACTTCTGTGACCGAGACGTCACTGCAGCGGGGAGAGGGGCGGGTGGGGGTTGGGGAGGGGTCGGATAAGGAGAGGTTGAACTCTCAGGCTGCTGATGCGGATGATGCACACCAGCAGCGGCATGCCAATGAGGGCGATGGCAGATGAGTAGTCGCCCACTTCTGTGACAGCGACATCCCTGCAGGGGAGAGAGGGAAAGGGGGAGAGTGAAAAGGGAGGGGTGTGTGGGAGGTGAAACCCCTCCCTGAGGCTGCTGATGCGGATGATGCACACCAGGAGTTGAGGGCAAAGAGCCCGTAGATGGCCATGAGCGTAGAGTACTCCTGGAGCGGGTCTTTGTCGCCCATGGGCTTGCAGGGCAGCTGGGAGTGCACCACAACAGATACCACCTGCACCAGTTGGCACCTGCACCAGATGGCACCTGCACACCAGATAGCACCTTCCCCAGCACGTGAAAGACGGCGCTCCATAGCCAGGAGTTGAGGGCAAAGAGGTTGCAGATGACCATGATGCGGTTTCCCAGTAGAGATCCTGAGTTACATCAACAAGCCTTGACAGAGCACGTACCGGGCGTGGAAGATGGCGCTCCAGAGCCAGGAGTTGAGGGCAAAGAGCCCCTAGACAGCCATGATCGTGGAGTACTCGTAGAGAGGGCCCTTGTCGCCCACGGGCTTGTGGGGCAGCTGGGAGTGCACCACACCAGACACACCTGCACCAGATAGCATCTACACACCCAATGACACCTGCCCCAACACCTACCGGGCGTGGAAGATGGCGCTCCAGAGCCAGGAGTTGAGGGCAAAGAGCCCGTAGACGGCCATGAGCGTGGAGATCTCGTAGAGCGGGCCTTTGTCACCCATGGGCTTGCGGGGTGGGTGGGAGTGCACCACACCAGATACCACCTGCACCAGTTGGCACCTGCTCAATCACCTACCGTGCGTGGAAGATGGCGCTCCAGAGCCAGGAGTTGAGGGCAAAGAGCCCGTAGACGGCCATGATCGTGGAGTACTCGTAGAGCGGGCCTTTGTCGCCCATGGGCTTGCGTGGCAGCTTGGCATAGACGAGTCGCAGGAAGGAGTAGAGGCCGTAGAGCGTGGCGAGGAAATTGAGAATGGAGAAGGCGGACGACGCGATTTCCTGGAGGGAGGGGGAGGGGCGGGAGGGAGGGACGGAGGGAGGGAGGGAGGGAGGGAGGGAGGGAGGGAGGGAGGGAGGTAAGGGAGAAAGGGAGGAATGGAGGATACTGTGTTTGGTAGGGGCAGTTTGGGGTGCATGAGGCGCAGGAAGGAGTAGAGGCCGTAGAGCGTGGCAAGGAAGTTGAGGATGGAGAAGGCGGACGAAACGATTTCCTGTGGTGGTATGGACGCACGAATTTGGGAGGGAGGGAGGGAGGGAAGGGACATAGTGCGTATTTGAAGGGGACAGCTTGGAGTGCGTGAGGTGCAGGAAGGGGTAGAGGCTGTAGAGCGTGGGGGTGAAATTGAGGATGGACGCAGGCTGAGGAGGCAATCTTCTGTGGAGAATGGGGGAGGGAGGCCGGGGAAGAGGGAGAGAGAAGGACACCGCATTTCATAGGGGCAGCTTGGGGTGCACGAGGTGCAGGAAAGATTCAGGGTTTCGGGTTTTAGAGCGTGGCAATGAATTTGAGAATGGAAAAGGTGGACGAGGCGATTTCCTGGAGGGAAAGGGAGGGGAGGGAGCACGCACACGATGGTAGCGAGAGGAGGAAGGAATGATGCGTATGGTGGACTATGTGGCATGTTACGCCATGGGTCATGGTACATATGTGGCATGGTAGGCCATGCCATGGGTCATGGCAGGAATTGGGGTATCGTAGGCTGGATCATGGTAGGCCATGGGTCTGCTTTTGAATCGACTCAAAAGCCGTGGGTCATGGAAGGCCATGGGCCATGGTTGGCCATGGGTCATGTTAGGCCATGGGTCATGGTAGGCCATGGGTCATGTTAGTAGCCTATGGGTCATGGAAGGCTGGGTCATGTTAGGCTATGGGTCATGATAGGCCATGGGTCATGTCAGCAGCCTATGGGGTATCGTAAGCTATGGAGTGTAGGAGAAGGCCCTGTCATACACCCACCTGGTTAGAATGCACATATTAAAACAAAAACTGACCTGGAAAACGGGGATGGAAGGGCATTTGTCGTAGTACTGCACTTGGGGCAAACAGGGCTTCTGAATGTCGCGCATGCACTGGAACTTGCAAACGCTCAAGAACTCGTTATAAAACAAATCTCACCTGGAAGCCAAGAACGCGGATGAAGGGCCATTTGCCGTAGTACTGCACTTGAGGTACCCCGGGCATCTGAATGTCGCGCATGCACTGGTACTTGCACTCGCTCACGCAGTCCCACCGCAGCAGACGGAGCTCTAACGGACCCGTCACCATTCCGTCAGTCATCCCGTCAGCGGTGATTGCAGGCGGACAGCCGGGAATGCAGCGGTCGCTCACGCATCCGGTTTTCTGGCAGTCAAGCAGGCATGATCTGAAGAGAGGAGAAAAGCCGGCGTGTATGGGGATGAGACAAAAAGAGGATTAGACATGAAGGGAAACATGCATATAACAGGAAAGACCAGGGGGAGAGTAGACGGGTTTAATGGTGTGAGGAAATTGATCGGACATAACGTGAACGGATTCATCGCCCGACTTTTTGAGGATTCTACAATTGCGGACCCAAAAAGCGGCGGATTCACGAGTCATGTTGCAGGCGTGACGATAAGTAAAAGGAGATGGTACGGTGTCTCAGACGTCTACACTACTACATTGGGTTCGATCCGGCTGGAATCCAGAAGATGCCTCCAGTGCTGGCGATCTGCGAAGCAGCTGGGAAGGACTTTTTTCGACCATGGTTCAACGTGAAGGGATAGATTGCGGTACGATGCAGTACATAGCAGTGCATTGCGGTGCATTACACGCTTCAAAAAGCAGACTCAAGAGCTGGCGATTTGTGAAACACGGGCTGAGAAGGACCAACTTCGCCCGTGGTACAACGCGAAGACCCCAAAACCACGCGACGACCTCTACAACAATGCAATGTAAGGATATTGCTGGATTGAGATATGCCGAATCTGACCTCAAGGCTTGTAAAGGGATAAATGCGACATCGCATCAGCGAGAGACGCGATAGTTCTTCTCGAAACAAATGGCGGGACTAAGTACCAGACTCCAAGACACGGGAACGTTGATCCAGAACGCGATGTGAGACGATCAGATCCTCGCGATTCAACCCAATAACCATCGGCATTCACGAGCTTATGTAGTTCTCAAGTCGACTCGAAAGCCAGCTTTTCTAGTTCTCATGTCGGAAAGCCAGCTGTCCGGCATCGATCTTGATGATCAGATCCAAGACAGTTCAGTTTTCCGGGAAGGCCTTCACGATTGTCCGACGGCTGGCCAGTTTTCCGATGGTAACTTACTCAAATCCACTTATTTTGTGCTACTTCGAAGTAATCACGACGATACGTCGAACGGGGTTTACTTACTGGAAGGTCGGATCCGTATCGCCAGCGCTTGCGGAGACTGAAGTTAGCAAAGGGACAACGGCTGCTAAAAAAACGGCTGCTCGAAAAGCCCGCCGATCCATGGAGTACGATGCACTGTAGATGGATTAGAGCTTAGAATTCAGCAAGAAGGATAGGTCGGCCTAATAGGGGGACAACTCGTTCAGTCAGGAAACTACCGTTCGCTGACGTAGCGGTCGGCCTCAGCTAAGCCACTAGTGTCAGGCCACACCAGTGTGTGGATTCAAACCAAGATCGCTCTAGCAGAAATGCTCGAGTCCAGACGCAGTAACAAATGTAGAGGAAGAAGCCAGTCAGATGAGATCAATGGGGGGGTGTTGAGGGGCAGGAAGAGAACCCTTGCTGGTTCGGATCAGGCAGATCAACCTTGGAATTGCCGAACGGCCCTAGGTGGATCCGTGCACGGGCAACGACTGGCGGAAACCATCTCCTCAACACAGCGGGATGCCATGTTGAACCCGCATTTATAAGGGGGGTGCTTACTTGGAAACTCTTTGGCGGGAATGGAAACTTCTGACACCAAAACGACATTGGACGATGGGGATGACGACCAAGAAATGAGACACATTTGCAGACGGACGAATGAGAGCATTCAGAGAATTTTATCCGCCTTTGAGTATTCCGCAAAACATTTGATGCTGTAGAAGGTACACGCAGAACCTACAGACAGGCAGACATTCAGCAAACGTTTAACATTAGTAAACATGCTCCATTTTGCATTGCAATTGCAAGCATTCGAGAAACGACAACGCATGCACTGTGGTAAAATGTGTATCTTACACAGTAGAAAAGTTGCTTGGTGATAGGTTTGAGAAAGGTAGTTGTCTATGTGATACATGTTGGAAATATCTCAAAGGACTTAAGCGTTTCTGAAGTGTAACACTACACTCGAGGAAGATCACAACGGGTACGCGAGTCAACGGAGGTTACACGAGGGGGCGGACAAAGAACGCAAAGGGACTCGAAGGGTCGCAACTGGAGGTTGCGACTGACCGTTACAACAGCGCGGATGGTAACCGAAGTGACAATCGAGACGCTGTGCGACTCGATAACCGCTCCTGCAACTGTATTCTACAAGTGCTTTCTTATTTTCTATATATTGCTGTATGCTTGTTTCTTTAATCAATCACTTGTTCTCATATACTAGTACAAGGGTTCAACTGCCTCAAAACTTCCGCTGCACTACTCAAGCCTTTACAACTGGGACTTAGTCTCTGAAAGATCCTAAGGGCTTTTCTCAGCCCAACATGGTATGAGAGCTGGTCAGAGACCAAACTCCCAGCAACTACGCTCTATATACAATCTGCAATTCAACGACTTCATTGATCACAAGTCATGGATAACAAGGGCAAGAAGACCTCTACGGGCTCACCCAGTGCCCAAGACACTCAACACGGCAACTCTGGGCTGCACACTTCAGGACTGCAGACCGAGACCGGCGCTGCTCAAGAGACAACAGGAAGAACACCGGAAATGGTGACCCCATCACCGTCTTCAAGCGTCGACCCAAACCTTATGGAAAGATTCTTCAGTTTCATGTCGCACTTCGACCAGCAGCAGCAGACAAGGACACCTGCGCATTCAACACAGAGCAATGGAGGAAACATGGGATTAGCGCCGATGAGCCTCGACAATTCATCATTCGGGCGACACAATCAAGCGCCTACCTTTGCGCCTTATCACTCTTCACCGGGGACGTTCGAGTTCATGCCGCCCCGTGCCCAACCAACAGCAGCTGCATCACAACAGACATCAAACGAGATTTTAAGCCTCCAGGCGCAGTTCTCACACGTGATTAAACTACTGACATCCTCACCATTCAACGGACACGATTTCTTTACCTGGAGTTTTGAGTCTACAGCAACGGAAAAAGTCTACAGCGACATTTTAAACATGCCTCGAGAAGACGCTGAAGCAGACTTCAACTATGTCATCACGTTTATCGACGCAGCAACAAGATACGTCTGGCACTACAACCTCAAGACGCGCGACCAAGCCTTCGACGCCTTTACGACATGGCTACCCATCGCCGAACGAGAATCCGGAACCAAGCTCAAGAGCTTCCAGTCAGACGGTGCACTGGAATACCAGTCACAACGCTTCAGGACCTATCTGGCGGAAAGAGGAATCAGACGCCTGGTGTCTCTGCCCTACGCTCACCAGCAGCAGGGGGTCGCAGAACGCATGAACCGGACCTTGCAGACGACGATGCGAAAGCTGCTCCTGGGGATGAGACTGCCCATCACACTGTGGCCAGACGCAATGACACATGCAGTCCACCTGCACAACCTGTTGTCCTCGTCATCGCTTCCCAACAACGCATCACCGCACCTGCTGTGGACACGGAAAAGGGGCAGCACAAAATTGCTTCGCGTTTTCGGCTGCATGGTACAGTACAGACCCCACACAGCCCGAGCAGGACGCTTCACTCAACGAGCTCGGTGGGGACTACACCTCGGCATTGCAAAACATTTTCACGCATGGAAAATCCTCGACATACAAGACAAAAATACAGTGGCATCACGTGACGTTATCTTCTACGAGCGATTGACGCTGCAGCATTACCTGGACAACATTGCCAACACACACGACCCCACCGACGGCTTCGCGGGCCTTCGTTCCTTCGCCGACCGTGCTGCCGAGGCTGACGCAGCAGAAGAAAATGTACCTGGAGCCTCGGAAGCTGCCGGACCACTCCCTTTCTGTTCCGTACCTGTTCCACTCGACGAAGACAATCCCCTCGATAGTAACAACCTCGACACCTTTTACCACTTCGCTGACCAAGGTTACATTACACCCAACCCGGTCGACACAAATGTTTCAGAACGCATCGGCCCCAACTTCTTACCTGATCCAGAAGACGGTGACGATACAGCCTATTCCGGGAATGAAAATTCCCCTCGACACACACCCACGGGACTGCAGATACTCGGCCTATGGGTCTCCGTCCAGCATCCGCCGCCGCCATCTCCGCGCGAGCCCTCAACTCTGTCGCAGGCTCTGGGGGGGGAACATAAGGCGAAATGGAAGGAAGCGATGGAAAAAGAGCTAAAGGCTCTGCAAGACCGAAATACATGGAAGCTGGTACCTGCAACAAGCATCAACGGGAAGAACGTCCACTCAGGAAAATGGGTGTACCGCATCAAGACCAACGCGGACGGCTCCATCGAACGATTCAAAGCTCGATGGGTCGTACGAGGCTTCGATCAACGACACGGAACCGACTACACAGAAACTTTTGCCCCAGTCTCCCGTCACACCTCCCTGCGCATCCTACTCGCCGTCGCGGCCACGAAGAAACTACCACTGCGCCAAATCGACGTCGCAAATGCTTTCCTGTACGCACCTGTGGACGCCGAAATCTTCGTTGAGCAGCCCCACGGTTTCGTCGACGACCCTACAAAAGTATGCCAGCTGATAAAATCCCTCTACGGGATCAAACAAGCTCCGCGGCTGTGGCAGCAGCACCTTCACGGCCGCCTCGTCAGAATCGGCTTCCTACAACTGCCGCACGACCAAGGCATGTATCGACTACAGAAGGAAGGAGCCTTTATCCTTCTCATCGTCTACGTCGACGACCTGCTCTACATCGGCTCCACTACCGACATCGCCACCTGGTTCGAAGGGGAGCTGAAAGAAGACTTGACACTCACGGTGTCCGACTCAGTGACCCAGTACCTGGGACTGAATGTCGTCGAAGACAACTCGGCGTTCTACCTACACGCTGGAAAGTACGCAGGCACCGTCGCGAAGAAATTCGGTCTAACGCCGACTACGGTCCCAACTCCCTACCGCTACGGGAACAACAACAGCACCTCCGCAAAACTCCCCGCGAAGCAAATCCAGGAGTATCAGCAGAAGCTCGGCTGCCTACTATTCGCAGCAGTAACCTGCCGACCCGATCTCTCTTATAGCGCAAGCCAACTGGCGACGCATCTGAAGCAGCCGGAACAAGAAGATCTCGAGGAACTCAACCGGGCACTACTCTACTTCGTCTCCACGCCAACGACCGGGCTTACCTACAGCAAAGTAGCAACACCGTCCGTACGACTACTCGGATACGTCGACGCCGACCACGCGGGAGACAGGGAAAATCGACGATCGAGAACGGGCTACATCTACCGACTAGAACCTATCGGGACTATCTCCTGGCAGTCGAGCAAGCAGGAACTAATCGCACTATCTTCGGCTGAAGCAGAATATATCGCCCTCTGCACTGCGACCAAGGAAGGACTCTACCTACGAGAGTTGCTCGAGGAAGCGAAGATCGCGACCCTGCCCGTCTTCTCACTCCTCTGCGACAACCAATCTGCGATCAAAATCGCGAACAAGGACGGCTTCGCCAACCGAACCAAACACATTGCCCTGCGGTACTTTTTCGTCAAAGATGAAATCGCGAAGGGGAGACTTCAACTCAGTTACTGCCCTACAACAGAAATGGCCGCAGACTACCTAACGAAGAAACTGGCGAAGGCGAAGTTCGATTACTGCATGCTGCTGACCGGACAGACAAACGTCACCGGATCTGAACACGTCAACACTCCAGAAACGAAGGGGAGTGTTGGAAATATCTCAAAGGACTTAAGCGTTTCTGAAGTGTAACACTACACTCGAGGAAGATCACAACGGGTACGCGAGTCAACGGAGGTTACACGAGGGGGCGGACAAAGAACGCAAAGGGACTCGAAGGGTCGCAACTGGAGGTTGCGACTGACCGTTACAACAGCGCGGATGGTAACCGAAGCGACAATCGAGTCGCTGTGCGACTCGATAACCGCTCCTGCAACTGTATTCTACAACTGCTTTCTTATTTTCTATATATTGCTGTATGCTTGTTTCTTTAATCAATCACTTGTTCTCATATACTAGTACAAGGGTTCAACTGCCTCAAAACTTCCGCTGCACTACTCAAGCCTTTACAACTGGGACTTAGTCTCTGAAAGATCCTAAGGGCTTTTCTCAGCCCAACAATACAAATAGTGCTCGAGTACCACAACCACCTGATTTCAACAGTGAAGGGGAATGGAAACCAGTATTGTGGTTACCAGTTTTCACTAGAACGCAGCTGCACGCATGGATTCCACACTATAGCGCGAATTGTTCATTGTTGTGCAGCTGCTAGTAGCTTCTCATACACCTGCCGAGCTGTCAGGTCCTCTACCTGCCCACAGGAACAGGGGAAAAGAATGGGAGGAATGGGGGGGACTGACAGTGAGGGGGGAGAAGAGGTAATAGCTTTCACACACTCTTGCTACTGTCAGGTGTGTTACCCGCCAACGTGCACTGGAGTGGAGGAGAGGCGAGGGGAGAGTGAGGGGAGAGTGAGAGGAGAGAGGGGAGGGGAGAGTCAGGAGGGAGGAAGAGGATGCAGTGAGTCATGGTATGGGACAGGAATTAGAGATACCGCATGTGCATGTGATTCTCATGTGTACAGTGCGTGCATGTCACACGTGGCACCCACACCAATGCATGCGTATTATGAGCATCTTGGACTTGGAGGACCATCCCCACTACAATCTCACTCAGTTGCACCAACTCAGGTCCAGCACATGTCCATGCATACGTAACAAGCTACACCACGAGCATACCATGAGCATCTTGGACTTGGAGGATCATCCCCGCCACAATCTCACTCAATTGAACCAGCTCAGGTCCAGTCCACCACATCTCCATGCATACACAAACAGCTACACCGCTTTCATACCATTAGCATCTTGGACTTATGGGACCATCCCCTCTGCAGCCTCAGTTGCACCAAGCGAAGGCCCAATGTCTACTCGGGGAAGTGGGGAGAGACGGGGGGAGGAGGGAGGGGAGGGAGGGGGGGTAGGGAGAGACGGGGGGGGAGGGAGAGACGGGGGGGAGGGAGAGACGGGGGGGAGGGAGAGACGGGGGGGGAGGGAGAGACGGGGGAGGGAGGGAGAGACGGGGGGGAGGGAGAGACGGGGGGGAGGGAGAGGCGGGGGGGGAGGGAGAGGCAGAGGGGGAGGGAGAGACGGGGGGGGAGGGAGAGACGGGGGGGAGGGAGAGAGGGGGGGGGAGGGAGAGACGGGGGGGGAGGGAGAGAAGGGGGGGGGAGGGAGAGACGGGGGGGAGGGAGAGACGGGGGGGGAGGGAGAGACGGGGGGGAGGGAGAGACGGGGGGGGAGGGAGAGACGGGGGGAGGGAGAGACGGGGGGGGAGGGAGAGACGGGGGGGGAGGGAGAGAGGGGGGGGGGAGAGACGGGGGGGGGGGGGGGGGGGGGAGGAGGGGGGGGGGGGGGGGGGGGAGGAGAGACGGGGGGAGGGAGAGACGGGGGGGGGAGGGAAGAGGACGGGGGGGGAGGAGAGACGGGGGGGGAGGGAGAGACGGGGGGGAGGGAGAGACGGGGGGGAGGGAGAGACGGGGGGGAGGGAGAGACGGGGGGGGAGGGAGAGACGGGGGGGAGGGAGAGACGGGGGGGAGGGAGAGACGGGGGGAGGGAGAGACGGGGGGAGGGAGAGAGACGGGGGGGGAGGGAGAGACGGGGGGGAGGGAGAGACGGGGGGGGAGGGAGAGACGGGGGGGAGGGAGAGACGGGGGGGAGGAGAGACGGGGGGGAGGGAGAGACGGGGGGGGGAGAGACGGGGGGAGGAGAGACGGGGGGAGGGAGAAGGGGGGGAGGGAGAGACGGGGGGGAGGGAGAGACGGGGGGGGAGGGAAGACGGGGGGGGAGGGAGAGACGGGGGGGGAGGAAGAGACGGGGGAGGGAGGAGGGGGGGAGGGAGAGACGGGGGGAGGGGAGAGACGGGGGGAGGGAGAGACGGGGGGGAGGGAGAGACGGGGGGGGAGGGAGAGACGGGGGGGGGGAGGGGGGGAGGGAGAGACGGGGGGGGGAGGGAGAGACGGGGGGGGAGAGAGGGGGAGGAGAGACGGGGGGAGGAGAGAGACGGGGGAGGGAGAGAAGGGGGGGGAGGGAGACGGGGGGGGAGGGAAGAGACGGGGGGGGGAGAGAGGGGGGGGGAAGAGGACGGGGGGGGAGGGAGAGGACGGGGGGGAGGGAGAGACGGGGGGGAGGGAGAGACGGGGGGGAGGGAGAGACGGGGGGGGAGGGAGAGACGGGAGGGGGGAGGGAGAGACGGGGGGGAGGGAGAGAGACGGGGGGGGGAGAGACGGGGGGAGGGGAGAGACGGGGGGGGGGAGGGAGAGACGGGGGGGGGGGAGGAGAAGACGGGGGGGGAGGGAGAGACGGGGGGAGGGAGAGACGGGGGGGGGGAGGGAGAGACGGGGGGGGGAGGGAGAGACGGGGGGGGGAGGGAGAAGACGGGGGGGAGGAGAGACGGGGGGGAGGGAGAGACGGGGGGGGAGGGAGAGACGGGGGGGGAGGGAGAGACGGGGGGGGGAGAGACGGGGGGAGGGGAGAGACGGGGGGGGAGGGAGAGACGGGGGGGAGGGAGAGACGGGGGGGAGGGAGAGACGGGGGGGGGAGGGAGGAGACGGGGGGAGGAGAGACGGGGGGAGGGAGAGGGGGGAGGGGAGGGAGAGACGGGGGGGGAGGGAGAACGGGGGGGGGAGGGAGAGACGGGGGGAGGGAGAGACGGGGGGGGGAGGGAGAGACGGGGGGGAGGGAGAGACGGGGGGGGGGGGAGAGACGGGGGGGAGGAGAGACGGGGGGGAGGGAGAGACGGGGGGGAGGAGAGACGGGGGGGGAGGGAGAGACGGGGGGGAGGGAGAGACGGGGGGGAGGGAGAGACGGGGGGGGAGGGAGAGACGGGGGGGAGGGGGACGGGGGGAGGGAGAGACGGGGGGGGAGGAGAGACGGGGGGGGAGGGGGGGAGGGACGGGGGGAGGGAGAGACGGGGGGGGAGGGAGAGACGGGGGGGAGGAAGAGACAGGGGGGAGGGAGAGAAGGGGGGAGGGAGAGAACGGGGGAGGGAGAGACGGGGGGGGAGGAGGAGACGGGGGGAGGAGACGGGGGGGAGGAAGAGACAGGGGGAGGGAGAGAAGGGGGGGAGGGAGAGAAGGGGAGGGATCATGCATGGCTTGCATGGCTTGTATGGCTTGTATGGCTTGTATGGCTTGTATGGCTTGTATGGCTTGTATGGCTTGTATGGCTTGTATGGCTTATCGGACCATCCACACTGCAGCCTCAGTTGCACCAAGCGAAGGCCCAATGTCTACTCAGGAAAGCAGGGAGAGATGGGGAGAGGAGGGAGGGAGGAAGGGGGGGGGGGAGGGAGAGAGAGAGAGATATGTTTTTTTGGAGGGGAAAATAGGTGTGAGGAAGAGTTGGGCTATGAGCTGAGGGGCGTATTTTGAGTCGACTCAATGGCATGGGACTAGCGTGCCTTTTGAGTCGACTAAAAAATCGACTCATTACCTCGTTACAATGTCGTGTGTCTCCAGCGTCTCCATGCTGGAGAAACACAAGCAGCTCTCCATGCATGGAATCCTGGAATACCTTCGCCAGTGATTCTTGAGTCGACTCAAAAGTGATTCTTTGAGTCGACTCAAAAAGTGATTCTTGAGTCGACTCAAAAGTGATTCTTGAGTCGACTCAAAAGTGATTCTTGAGTCCACTCAAAAGTGATTCTTGAGTCGACTCAAAAGTGATTCTTGAGTCCACTCAAAAGTGATTCTTGAGTCGACTCAAAAGTGATTCTTGAGTCGACTCAAAAGTGATTCTTGAGTCGACTCAAAAGTGATTCTTGAGTCGACTCAAAAGTGATTCTTGAGTCGACTCAAGAAACACAAGCAGCTCTCCATGCATGGAATCCTGGAATCCTGGAATCCTGGAATCCTGGAATCCTGGAATCCTGGAATCCTGGAATCCTGGAATCCTGGAATCCTGGAATCCTGGAATCCTGGAATCCTGGAATCCTGGAATCCTGGAATCCTGGAATCCTGGAATCCTGGAATCCTGGAATCCTGGAATCCTGGAATCCTGGAATCCTGGAATCCTGGAATCCTGGAATCCTGGAATCCTGGAATCCTGGAATCCTGGAATACATTTGCCAGAAATTCCATCAGCTCTGCACTGCCCTCCTTCGAAGGCCCTATGTGACGATCATGCTGGAGTGAAATGGTGTGAAATGGTGTGAAATGGAGCGAAATGGAGTGAAATGGATTGACGCATCTGCATGTGTGTGTGAGGAGCAGCACCCGGATACCTTCACCAGGAATTCCATGAGCTCTTCACCGGCCTCCTTCAAAGGCCTTATGTGACAATCATGATGGAGTGAAATGGAGTGATACGGAGTGATACGGATCGACGCATCTTCATGTATGAGGAGCAGCGCTAGACTGCTGATGAAGGCACTGTCGCGGTCGAATATACCTTTGCCGGATGTGTTCTGTTTTTTTTAATTCTCAGGAGCAGCACTCAAATACCTTGGCCAGGAATTCCACCAGCTCTGCACTGGCCTCGTTGCCCCCATGCGATGATCATGACAGAGTGAAATGGAGTGATATGGATTGACGCATATGCATGTATGAGGAGCAGCACTCGAATACCTTTGCCAGGAATTCCACCAGCTCTGCGCTGGCCTCGTTGGCCCTATGCAATGATCATGACAGAGTGAAATGGAGTGATATGGATTGACGCATATGCATGTATGAGGAGCAGCACTCGAATACCTTTGCCAGGAATTCCACCAGCTCTGCGCTGGCCTCGTTGCCCCTATGCGATGATCCTGTCACTGCGATCCGCACATCGTCCGCATTGATGCCTGGTGGGAGGAGGAGCGGGAGGGGGGGAGGAGAAAGACGCACACATCATGAGCGCCGTTGCACACATCATGAGCGCCGTTGCCTCTATGTGATGATTCTGTCACTGCGATACTCACCTCGTTGGCTTTATACCTGGCGGGAGGAGGAGAGGGGACATAGTCGATATTAATACCTGGCAGGAGGCCGAAGGGTGAGAGCCGCCTCACCGGCTTAGTCCTGCACAGGGCACTATTGCAATGGAAGACGACTACGGGAATTCTTAGGCCGACGCGGAGTTTGAGCACGACCTGAATGATGCCCTCAGCAGAACCCTCAACAACATATGACCAGTCATTAGAGAAGACCAAGCAGGAATTGACCATGCGTGCAGCAGAGCGTAGTTTGTTGTAGAGACTTTGTCAGATGACCAACGAGCTCACATGGCCAGAAGTCGCTACAACAATTTACGCTCTACTACACTCATGACCAGTACCTGCTTGGTCTACTAGAGCACATTCACATGTCGTTGAGGGTGCTGTCAAAATCATCATTCGGGTCGTTCTCGGAATCTTAATCGGCCTTATAATCTCCGCTATCCTCTTCCATCGCTGAAGTGGCATGTGCATGAGAGCAGGGGCACACATCATCGGCATAGTTGGTGGGAGGAGGAAGGGTGGGATAAATAAGGATGCAGGGGATTTTTTAGACGTCTCAAAACTAAGCTAATTAACCAATGATACCCGGTGGGAGGAAGAAGGGTGGGATAATGAAGGATACAGGGAAGGGAGCATAGAGAAGCATGAAGATGCAAGTTGTTTCACACAAAGAGAAAAGATGCTCTCTAGGTAGGAGACTCATTATATGATTGTAACATGGAAGCAACACGCCCATATCATGATTGTAAATTATGGCAACAAACATGATCGTACCATGGTCGTAACAAGAATGTACGCAGCATTGCGGAGCATTGAGGTCTGTCCTGTCATCCAGCCCTAAGTGACGGGATATATCATGAGTGCAATTATATTCAGAGTGCAATTACGGAGCATACACACAGCACAGCAGCACAACATTGTGACAGTTTATTGCAACGTGCGGTGCACAACATAGTGACAGTGTATCGTAACGTACGGTGGACATTGTTGTGACACCATACTCACACGTGCGGTGCACAACATTGTAACAGTGTACTGTCATGTGCGGTTCACAACATTGTGACAGTGTATCGTAACATACGGTGCGCAACATTGTGACAGTGTATCGTAACGTACGCAGCACAGCGGAGCGTTGGGCCCTGTCCTCCACCTCTATGGCCACCTGGACCAATCCGCTGTCCAGCTCTTGAATGCACGGCGGAACGGGGGCGTCCTGCAGGGAGAATAAATCACGGGGAGCAGAGAAAAGGTTGGGGGAGGTGCTTGATTTGAGCACTGTTCTCCACCTCTACTGCAGCCTGCACGAGCCCGCTGTCCACCTCCTGAATGCACGGCGGCACAGGGGCGCCCTGCAAGGCACACATAACAAAGTAGGGGGTTAAAGCACAGCAAACACGTTGAGCCATGTCCTCCACCATAGGTGATTCTTTTAGTCGATTAAAAATAACCGCCACGCCACCTGCATGAGAAAACTGTCTTTCCCGCTCTTATATTGAATGCATGGAGGCCTGAATTCACGCGTCCCTGCAATGTACTAGCGCTCCTAATAACGCGTACCTGAGGCTTGGTGTCAGAAGCGGCAGCAGTGAGAGCATCCGAAGGAATATAGACGAACTTGGCACACTCCATGCTCTCCTCGCTGCTGTACGTGCTGAGGCGCCTCAAGACAAGAATGCCTGCCTACAACTAAGTACCTCTGCCTACAGATAAGTACCTGGGGCTTGGTGTCGGCAGCAGCAGCAGTGAGAGCATCAGAGGGAATGTAGACGAACTTGGCACCCTCCATGCTCTCCTCGCTTCTATAAGCCACCATCACTCCACACTCCCCGCACCCCATTCTGTATTGTCGCTCCACCTTCCCTTCACCCCTGTGAGAGAGAGAAAGAGAAAGGGAGGAAGGAGAAGGGGGATGAGTCGGTTGATTTGTGAGGGCCTAATGTGACAATGGTGGGCGTGTGACAATGGCGGGTGTGTGAGAATGGTGGGCGTGTGGCAATGGCGGGCGTGTGGCAATGGCGGGCGTGTGGCAATGGCGGGCGTGTGGCAATGGCGGGCGTGTGGCAATGGCGGGCGTGTGGCAATGGCGGGTGTGTGAAAATGAAGTCATCTGACATCAGGCACTGACCTCTTGAGCAGCTGTTTGCCCGTCTCCATGACATTAAGTCTCATGAGATGCTTCTCTCTCTCCATCACCATCGCCCCATCCGTCTTGCGGCGAGGCAGCGCTGATAGCTGACTGTCTGCCTGCCATGCCATGCCCACACCCCAGCCAGCAGTCACCATGCCAAGCCATGCCCACACCGCAGCCAACAGTCACCATGCCAAGCCATGCCCCCACCCAGACCAGCATTGCACAGGCACCAGCCAACAGCCAGCATGCCATGCTATCGGCGAGGCAGCGCCGATAGCTGGCTGTCTGCCTGCCATGCCACACCCACACCGCAGCCAGCATTGCACAGTCGCCAGCGCACAGCATGCCATGCCATGCCATGCCCACGCCCTGGCCAGCATTGCACACACAGACACCATGCACTATGCACACACCCACACCCCAGCCACGTCCGCCATGCACAACCCACGCCCACACCCCAGCAATACCCCGGATTCCACCACCACCAACCAGAGAGAGAGAGAGAGAGAGAGATTTGAGAGTACAAGTCGAAGAAAGATGCTTGTTATAAGAGCATGCCGCCTGTTATAAGATCATCTTGACTGTTATAATCACATGTGCGCCACGCTGCTTGCAGTAGTACACGATCACCTCATTATTATCTCCCTGTGGCTCCTTGGATAAAACAGCTTTACCCGTAAAAAGGACGTACCCGTTACAAGCACTTGCCTGTTATAATCACACGTGCACCGCACTGCTTGCAGTAGTGCACTATAAGCTCCTTGGTACCCCCCTGCGGATCCGCGTCCTCGCTAGAGTACGTGCAGGTAGTGCGCTTGCCTAATGTAGTCACTTACCTAAGGACGTACCCGTTATAGTCACTTGCCTGTTATAAGCACATGCGCTCCGCACTGCTTGCAGTAGTACACTATAAGCTCCTTGGTATCTCCCTGCGGCTCCGCGTCCTCGCTCGAGTACGTGCGCGTGGTGCGTTTTGGCATGCTGGCGACTTGCCCTCTGCGACTTGCCCTCTGCGACTTGCCTTCTGCGACTTGCCCTAAGCGACTTGCCTGGGTCCTTAAACTCCCCGATATACGAAACCCCTCTGCTAGCAGAACGCGGAATGAATCGCTATAAATTGCTAGAAATAAGGTCACTACACGCACTGATCCAAGCCTCGGCTGGTAGTATGCGAAACAAACCGCTAAAGAATAAAATCACGCCTACATGGACTGAGACATTACTGCTTCACACCCTGAATGCTAAATAACCCTAAAAACACCCTCTGGATGCTAAACCAACTTATCAACAGCCCCTGAGTGCTGGAAGCTTGTGAACGGGGACGGAATTGCTAAGGCACGTTCAATCGTGAACGTTCGTTAGCGCAATCAATGGACGTCCGTGCGCGCAGGCGGCCTAAGGTGCTTATGAACGGTCGACGAGCGCACCGCTGAAATGGCGGCTAGGATCCCAGTGAACTCAGCGGAGTCTTATGGGATAACGAGCTGGCACGCGCAATTTCGG